TAATGGATATGATCCTAATGTTTTCACATTGTTGGATATGATCTCATTCAAGTCACTGGAATTTTCTACTTAGTGTGATTGTGGCAAAAAAAAGTTTTGATGAAATGGTAACAATATTAAAAAGAGTATTTCAATACAAATAATTCAATATATTGAGGATTTTGAATTGTAATGTTTAGTAGTACTGGATATTAATTTATTGATAATAAAATAAAGGTTAATTTCTTTTTTTTTGACAAGTACATCGGCTCTCAAGATTTTTTATATTCGTTTAAACAATCAACCCACAACTTTGTTGATGTCAATATTTCGTTACATGCATATACATACAATGTATGGCTATTTTTTGCTAAATATTTGTCTTTTCTGTTTCACCAGGCAACTTTGAGCTGGTTACTTTGCTTTTGGAAAGAGGGGCAGACCCTTTGATTGGCACCTCCTACCGCAATGGCATTTGCTCTGGTCCACTGGGTGAAATGAACTCCTACAGCCTTGCTGCATCACATGGACACAGGTGATGGAGAACACTCACCACTAGCACAAGAGGGATCCCAAGCTTCCTTAGCCCATTGACAAATTTGTCATCAGATAACACTATTTCAGTGTCATTATACATCCTTCTGACTGCAGAGCCCTATAATCTATCAAACCCAAACTGCTGATTTGTTATTTTTGGCTCCAATAAAACCTGAGCTGGTGAATGTGACCACAAAATATTGTGTGATTTACACTCATAACTCAAGCCCCCTCACGCTCCACTGCTGGTGAATGGTATGGATGAGTGCTCGCTCATTGAGTCTCATCTATAGCCACTGCTGCATGGTGGAAATCTAATCGAAATTCACTCCACATCCGTCTGAATGAGAATCCCGCGTGCTCAATGGCCAACTCACCCTTGCCATTTTAAGGCAATCTGTCAGAACATTGTGAGCTCAGTGCCAGAGCCGGATGGCTTGGCTCCCGGCTTTATATATGTTTACTGGTATTTGTTGTTTATCTATAGAGGATCATTCATGGAGAGTTTTAAAGATTTAAAAAGAAAGATTTATTCTGGTTTCTTAAGAGAGTCCATTGATTCTAAACATGTAATCGTCAGGGTTCATTGCTTTATCTGGAACCGTTAGATTAGGATTGCTTCTACTTTCTTATCATATTTATGTTTAATGCAGCAAATCTCTTAATTGTTAAAGTGGAGGAACAATTGTTAGTCTTTAAATCTAAAGAATCGACTCCGAGTCCAAAGAAGTTCTTTTTCCAACCCGATCCTTGGCTTAAAACTGGGACGTCACCTGATATTACACCATCCATTCAAGTTTGAAAATGAAGTTCTTCCTCTTGGTGCCAAGTTACTGGTATCGAGTAACATTTTATTTGAGTAAAAATGTAGTCACGCTTACCAAAATTGGTTGAAATGGCAAAACATTATGTAACTGGATCTTTACAACTGAAAGGAATCCTGCTCAAATTACTTTTGATTTGGAATGTCATCAGCAACTAAGCACTCGCCCTCCTCGGACACAGGTTCTGTTACACGTGCGGGACCTCTTCACTGGGTTTTGTTTATGTTTATGTTTAAGTGCATGCGAGGCCTTTCAGAGATTTATGGCACAGTCATAAAGCGATTCATTTCTGAGTTGTTTAAAAATCTGGTATAAATAAAATGGGGGGGGGGCTGTTATTGGAGACATCAAAAACCAAATAATGACATTTTCAAAATGAGGAGGTGGGTTAGTTGGAGGGTTGGGATAAATAAAGACAAGTATGTCGAGATGGTGATTAATCAAAACAATATTAAACAAATTAAAATTAAATGTAAAAAAAGTTTGATTTGCCTTTTTTATTTTTCGTGACTTGGAAAGTAAATTTTCCAATTTTACTTTTGTATGACATGGTGAGTGTCAGAGATGTGCAGATTCTTCAGTTGTGTGAAAATGGTTCAGGTTTACATTATCGGACATTGACAAGCCAGTGACCAAGTGAATGAACAAGCCAGAAGAGAAGGGACTCTAGGGAAAAATATCTAAATAAATTAGTCTGAACAAATCTGACATTCAATTTTTATGTAAAATCACCCAGATCCACAAGAATGTGTTGAAAAAGTGGTTTTATAACATTCAAAGAAATGAGCAGTGCAACACAAACCACTCACACACTCACGCTTAAGGGGAACCAGCATTCTTCTAACTGGAAGTCCACAGTGCTACCCACTCGCCCTAGTGCTGTCCAGAGATTATTTGATGTAAATTAATTAAAATGTATAATTAATGTGTGTTTTTCAATATACTTTATAATTTGTAAGAGTTTTTTAAGGTCTTTTATTTGTCCTCCAGGAATGTGTTCAGGAAGCTTCTGTCCCAGGTGGATAAAGAGAAGGGGGATGTTTTGTCCCTGGAGGAAATGCTAGCCGAGGGCTCGGAGGCAGGAGAGAGAAGAGTGCCAGTGTGTGAGGGCACGCTCCGGTCAGGCAAGGCCAAGCTCCGTGCTCTTCGTGAAGCTATGTACCACAGTGCTGAGCACGGCCATGTGGATATTACCATAGACATCCGCAGCCTTGGTGAGCAAACCCCTAAACACTCGACACTGAAATCAACTGTATTTGAATAAAGATACAGAGATAACTAAGAATTTGATTCACTGCCAAAGTTTTTTGACCTGCTAAGAATGTAACGATCTCTAATTTCCATTATAGAAAGTCACATTGATTTTTAAATTATGTGTTTCCATTTTGTTATCTGACTAACTGCAGATCCAGGCTGAAACAAACAAATCCATGTCTGTCTAGTTAAACAGCTCTGTCTAGTTCTAGAGTTAAATGTAATTGCTAATGCACAGATTTAGATGGAGTTATTACCATCTGCTCACCACCCTTTGAGCGCCTATAGCAGGGTTCGGCGAAAATGAATTTTTTAAAACTTTGACAACAAAACAATGGTTTAGAAAAGAATTCCCAGATGAATTCCCAGATGAAATTCCCAGTGTTTTCTTTCATCAGCTGAATCTTAAGATTTTAACTATTTTAACTATTTATATGTTTCCACAGTAACACATCTGGTTTTTATAGAGGATTTCTATACCTGCTTCAAGGCCTAGATCAGAGTCCTTTAGGCTCATAAATGCTTGCCATTTCTGTATGTTTTTCTTTTGTCAGAAGTGATGAAAGACTCGTTAAATGTAGATTTCAACAAAACATGGGGTAAAAATGTGGTAAAAACATGGGGTTACAAATATTCTTTGAATTATTGAATTATCTTTAGATATTTTAGCCTCTAATAACTGAGTTTACATCCATTCCTTTTTTTATTGGGGTCACGTTCATTCCTGCTGGTGCCTATCTCCAGTGCCCTGGCAGTACACCCTGGACAGGGGGCATTACATACATTCCCTCACACATTCACACCTGAGGGGGAATTTAGAATTATTCACTTAACCTAACCACATGTTTTCAGGATTCTTGAGGAAGCTCAAGCACTGGGAGAACATACTTCCAGGTCACTGGTGAGCCTCAAACCGGCAACCTTCTAACTGGAAGGGAAGAGTGATGCCCACTACTAAATCAATATGATTATAAAACATACTTTTTATTTATACTAAATGTTTATTGTGTAGTTAAAATATTGTTTGTCTGAACTCTTTTTGAAACCCATTTATATTTAGTTACATTTACCATTAGCCAAAGTTTTATTCTCACTGATTTGGAAAATATTTTAATGGAGACTCAGTGCTGTATTACAAATTAAAAGTACTCTAATATCCATTTCAGGCCAATAGCAAACACATGCACTCTGATTTAAGCTCCTGAATTGATCAAATGAATTGTTCTCCCAGAATTTTGATAGATGGATGTCCAGCACAATGTATTTCTGCCTGAGAATAAGCTGTACATGAACGAATCGATCGATTGTGTCTGTTCTCAGGAGTACCGTGGACCCTGCACACTTGGCTCGAGTCCCTGAAGACGTGTTTCGTGCAGCAGCGCCGGCCGCTGATCCAGGGCCTGTTGAAGGACTTCAGCTGCATCAAAGAAGACGAGTACACAGAAGAACTGATCACACACGGACTGCCGCTGATGTTCCAGATCATTCGCGCTAGCAAGGTGCTTCTGTCAAAATTGAGTTTGAGTCTCTTCTGCAACTTTTGAGATTTTATTCCTACATTGTGTTTTACTACTCTGTTCTCTTACAATCCTAAAAGAATATTCTGTAATTTCATATTTTTATAAACTTTCACAGCAGTGAGGAATTATTCAGCATTAAGTATTAGGTGATATATCTATCCTCAGCAACTGTACTTCTTTTCCTTTTTAGATTTATACCTAAGATGTTTATTTAAAGCTCTATTTTTAGATGTACATTGCATATTAACATTTTTAAATTATTATATATATATATTATACATATTATACATATCTGTGTGTGTGTGTGTGTGTGTGTGTGTCAACAATAATTTTAAAATGTTAATTTAAAAGCCTAAAACTAACAAATTAGAATCACTGTAATGGGTAGCTTGTGTAGAAGTACTTTAAATAATACAATTTTTCAACTTTAAAAAATAAAAACATTTCTAAAAAGTAATAATTTTAATCAAATATGTCTTTTGTAGTTTGTACTTTTTTGTTGTTAAAAAATTTCGCTTTAACGTGAACTCGGGCAATTTGAGAGTTCATTCCTCTCTTCCAAATGTTGTAACCCTTCAAGAAAAAGGTTTTTTTTTCAAAACCTATTAGTAAAAGTATTCCTAGTAGGTAATTTTCCATCTTAAGTAAATTATTTCAATGTTTTATTAGATTCATAATCAAATGATGGGGGCCATTTTTACTTGTTACTAACCCTGCTGTTATTCTTTATATAAGTAACAGGACTGAGTTTGTGAGCAAAGAATTAGCAAATACATGCTAAATTTACATGGTGAACATGATTATAGAACCAGGAAATCCTGCAAATTCGGTTATTTACCAAATCTGTGCATTTTAACACCAAACTAATTAAATCTATGACGATAGCTTTCCTGTGGCTTAATTGGTAGAGCATTGTGCAAACAACGCAAGGGTCGTGGGTTCAAATTCCACGGAAAAGCAAGAACTCACAAATAAAATTTGTTCATTCATTCAAAAAATAAGTTCAAAGCTCATTCATTCAAAATTTGGATAAAAGCGTCTGCCAAATGCATAAATGTAAATAATTTGAGTAACAGGACAGTATTTTTTTAAATGACAAGATTTTATCACAAAAACATTAAATATTTAAATAAGAAATTGAGAGAATTTACCTTTGCTTACCCCATAGCCTTCTAAAGATCCAAGTGTTGCAAGTGTTGCTGAAAAACTGACAGTTTTTCTGGAGGGGGTGGGTAACAGGAATGAGTAAGAAGCTGAAGACATAAATGTTGTTGTTGTTTTTTTATCTAAGAAAAAAAATTTATTTGAACCAAACATTCTATATGGACTTTTATCATTCATTCATTTTCTAACCAGTTTATTCCCTTTTTGTGGTAATTGGGGTCTCCCGGTGCCTATTTCCAGCACACATTGGGCGAGAGGCGGGGGTACACCCTGGACAGTCCATTGCAGTATGGGTTTATATATCAATGCAAAAGAAAGGTTTCTTTATTAAAAGCAATAAATACTATTTTTCAATGTTTTATGTGTATTTTAACAATATTTAGCTTGAATTTGCAATACAAATAGCATGTAGAACATGTTTAGTAGTGTTTATACATTGAAAGTCCCAGGGACAGGAATGGCACATTATCTGTGGAATGGGTAAAAAAAAATTCCGGTCTGAGAGGTTAAACTTTAAAAAACGTTCAGACTTCCTGTCCCTCATACGTCTCTACATTATTGTTATCAGCGGGTGTCAGTGTGTGGCTGTGAGCAAACAGGCAATCAGTATCAGCCACACTAGATTCAGCTTTCACCATAATTAACATCATAAATCGGCTAATTACAGAGCTCATCACAAGTGCCCTGCTGCTATTACCTTAGGCTTGAACATGGCTTGTTTTAAGCAAAACAGAATTAATGCTCTGACAGCAGCGATTTCTTGTCTGTGTGACCCGCAGAACGAGGTGATCAGCCAGCAGCTTTCTGTCATCTTCACCCACTGCTACGGCCCTTTCCCAATCCCCAAACTCACAGAGATCAAGAAGAAGCAGACCTCGCGTCTTGGTGAGTTTTGACTACCGTAGAAAAGCAAACATAGTGCTGTTTTGCTGAAACTCTCAGATTTCTTACATTTAAATGGAGAAAGATAATTGGGCTCTTTAGGAGTAAACTCATGCACTAAAGGGACTTCATTTACCTTGGAGAAATAAAAGTAGTGACTCTTCAAATTATTTTCTGGCTGAAGGTTTTGTGTAACATTAGCGCCATCTATGCTCTGGAGTGAAAACTAAGACATATAACGCAGGGATCTTTGATGCTCTTTATTGTAGAGTGTTGATGACAGCCAGTCGGATGCTGAATAATGAAAAGGTCTCTGTGCGATCACTGCATCTCGGCCTTTGGGACGTCATTGTTTCATGTGATGTGTTCCATCTTACAGATCCACACTTTCTCAATAACAAAGAGATGTCTGATGTGACCTTTCTGGTGGAAGGAAAGCCTTTCTATGCCCACAAAGTTCTCCTCTTCACTGCCTCACCAAGGTAGGTGTATGGGTGGAATTTAGTAGTTCTGTAAGATGAGACACAGCTGTTTAAATCTAGGTATAAGAAGATACTTAAACTTGAACTTCAAATATATCAGGGAACACAATATAAAACACAATTGTTTCGGTGTTACTGTGGCACTCGAGGGCAGACAATATAAACTAAGGGAGGGACATCCCTGTCGAGGTTATTAGCGAATAGTTCAGAGATGTTTAGTATTCAAGGTCGCTATGGAATATTCAGACAATCTTGTGGCATTAAGGAATTCAAAAATCTTTATTTATGACCAGCGGACGACACTATGTGAGCCATTCCACCAAATGGGTGCCATTTGCTTTTTCGTAATGTCTTTTTTCACTTGATTCAGTAGCATACAGATTCCAACAGCATGCATTCTTAAGTATTCCATATGGGCATTGGTTCCTCTTAAGTAACTTATTTAAATGTTTTATTAGATTTATAATGAAAAGATAGGTGCCTGATCCTAACTCTCGTTTTATTTTTAATTTAAGTAACAGGACATAGTTTGTAGCAAAGAATTGAAAACATGTGACATGGTACACATGATTAAAGAACCATGAAATTCTTCAAATCCAATTATTTACCAAAATATATAAAATTTTACACTAAATTTTTTTTAAGTAACGCTCCAAGATATCATTACAAAGTCATCAAATATGTAAAAACTAAACTGAAAGAACTTAACTTGCTTAACCTATGATCCAAGTAATGCAACTACCTGAAATTCCCCAGTTGTTAGGAAGAGGTTACAGGAATGCGTAAAAAAATGGGGACATGACTAAAATGTTTTTTTTAATCTAAGAAACTATAGATATTTGTTTAAACAAATTAAACAAGCATTATATGAAATAGATGTCATTTTTTCAGTGTTTTATGTGGATTTTATCACATATTTAAAAGTTATAGCTTAAATTTACAATAACAATAGTATGTTGTACACTTTGATTTGTAATAAAATGTATTTATGAAGCAATTTTAATCCCATGGACAGAAATGGAACCCATTTGGTGAACGTGCTCTAGTAAAGTTTGTGACCCTCAAGGAATCGATAGAAAACATCTCCACAAAGACCACGAGTAAACTTTCATAACCCAGTTAATACACAATCCGCAAATTGCACGTTTTGCAAAATGTCACGGATTATGTCACGGTTTCCCCGGACCACGTGATGAAATGCTTTATGGCAAGTAGTGTGTTAAAAAGTATTAAATATGGCTTTAATTATTGTGACACCTTAAAAACTGCAAATTGCATATCAGAGACATATCAGTTAACAATAGTATTTTTTTTACCGTTGGAGTTGTATCTGATAAACGTTTGATGATTCGTTATTAGTGACTTTCATAGCCACGATCACATAACGTGCCTCTTGTAAGAAAAATGTGCTTTAATGTCGCATCCACCTGCCCAATAGTGAAATACTGCCCGATGGCTGCGTAAATAGATGCCATTCTTTCGTGGTCTCCGTTTTTATCTGTGATATTTCTGTAAAGTCTTCATCGTGGAGACTGTGCAATTTGTCACTACATTACTAATAATAGCTAGTAACATTGTCACTACATTACAAATAATAGC